AAATAATAATCAATAAATATTTAGGACACATTTTCACACAGCGTTCTCTAGTCCCAAAGCTTGTACTATGAATACTAGGTATAACTAGATATGATAACTGATAAACATACTGAAACGTACTTTTCTTTTGTAAATAAATACATATTATAGATATATAAACACCCAGACACTAGAAAAACACTATGTTCATCACACAATATTTTTCCAGTAGTGGGGATCGAACCCACACCCACTACGCCATTCGGGTCGTGGTGGTGGCACCGAGATTTAAAATCGGGTTGCTCGAATATAATTAGTCTAAAGTTAGCGTACGGACACTGAGCTATCATGGCTCATAGAAATTATAATAAATACTACAAATACATAAATTTTTTGCAGACTCAAATCCCCTTCGAAAACCAATCGCATCATCGAAAACAAATCAACTCATCGCAAAGTGACTATGTCAATGGCCATGAGGTACTATTAAACCTATTTGTTAAATTGAGTTTGGGAAATAACAGCCCCTGTGGCCTAATGGATAAGGCATCGGCCTCCTAAGCCGGGGACTGTGGGTTCGAGTCCCACCAGGGGTAAAGCATATATTTTGTGCTACTATCTATTATTGGATTTTCTGTATATTTTGTTAATTTTTACAACATTTTTTGCCCTACTATTATTTTTATCATATCGTTGATACTTTTCTCTATATTTCCAAACCTTTATAGAATATTGTTTATTCAGGAAAAATAGATTTCTTCAAAACAAAAGTAGTTTCCTACAATTTATGTAATTACTTCAATGTTTAAAGACAACTGAACATTTCTGAACACAACAGTTTTCATCGGATTTTGTTTATATTTTGAAGCGCATATGAACTTTCGACCTTTATGGGGTGGAGGTAATTTCCCGAGCCAGCTGGTTGAATTAAATTATTTACGGTGTCGCTATTTTAACTTAATAAAGTTGCAACAGTCGGTTTTTTCAGTGGCAAAATCTTTCTCCCTTTTTTCTGACTCTGGCTACTGTTATTATTAATTCAGATATTTCAGGAATTAGTCTCTACGCAATTTTAAAATCACTGTAGTTTTTTTGAAACTTTATTTCTTGATCAAAATAACCATAATGAAGAAAAAAAAGTTTACTTTGACGCGCGTATGAATTATTTTCCATTGAGTTTATGATAACTTAAAGACAAATAAATAGCTGATATTGCTTATATAAAGTCAAAACTAATAGTGAGCAATGAATACACATGCTATAAAAGATTTACAAGTAGGATATAAAATAAAAAATAAAAATTCACTAAAAGGATTTTATTTATCTCTGCAAAATAATATTTGATTAAATTTCGTTATTTTTTTTTTAAGATCGCATACATCACTTACGCTAAATTACTATTATTTAATTAGAATTTGTTTTTATTATCTGTTATCCACATATACATAGATATATCGTAAAATTTTACAAACGTTTTTAGTGCCATTACAATTATTGTGAATAATACACTACAAAAGTGAATGTTTCTAACAAAATGTGGAAGTTACGATTGTGAATGCAACTGTAACATTCCGGCTAGCAAAATTAAATTGATCACCAAAGAAATGAACAATTTAACTGCAATAAAATTTAAAACGTTATTATAACGATGTTCCGTGAGTTAAGCTATGTACATCACTATAGATAAACAGATAATATAACAATGGAACATAGATTAAATATTCACAGATCGCTCACTACGTCAACACTAAACATTATTTACAACCCATAGACCTTTACTCGAGCTTAACTCTTTCGAGTAAACTTCTGACACAATTGAATAACAATTAACATGCGATTACAACAATATAGATTCTTACTAAATATTATTTCGTTCCCCGACCAATTTATTCTCTTTTGGAATGCCCGGTTAAAGTAGTTATTTACTAATTTCGAAAGGAATCTAAATTTGTAACAAAGTACAGAAACTTTCTTTTACGGATACGTCGGCAAATGAATTCTATCATCAGTTACTCGATTTTACATTTAAATTAATTTATTATATGTTATTATATAAGCTGCTAATTTTATTTATGTATACATGCTTATATGTATGTATTGTACTAGTCGTATTCATAATACTCTTGTATTTATAATTATAATTATAGTTACTAATACTTTAATAATTACAATTGTCATTACATATCAATGATGTTTAATAATATCGATGACACATGTCTATATTGCGCGGCGTTTAAAAATTGTTCCGCTTTACATTATATGACATATACCAGTGAACGTGACAGATGATATAGAACGTATGATATGGAAAGAGATAGCAATATATATATAGAATTGAGATCTATTAACACCAATTGGTGTAATTTGAGTGTCTCAATTTCGGTGCGCTAGTGTAATTTATTTGTATATGATATAACTAGTTCCTGCCCGCGACTACGTCTGCGTAGAATAGGCTGAAGGCGTAACATTCAGATAGAAAGACAGATATGTCTTATTTTGATATATAAGCTATATTATTATAAAGTTTCATTAAAATCCATTCTGTAGTATTTGCGTGAAAGAGTAACAAACATCCATCCATACATACAAATTTTCGCCTTTATAATATTACTAAGGATTAGTAAGGAAGGAAGGATTGATTACATATCGTCATGTACAATTGTCATTTTAGTGTTCTTTCTTCACTTTTCCATCTACGTCTTTTATTTTTGTATCATCCAGTAGGTTACTTGTGGAAAATGTCTCAAGCAATAAACCTGTACACAAGATTTGTGTAAAAGTGGATGCGGATCTATATATGATTTTTTTATTGGAGAAAGTGGCAAACGAGCTGGCAGTTCACCTGATGTTAAGTGATAACCGCCGCCCATGGACATTCGCAACACCCGTAGAGTTGCTAATGCGTTGCCACCTTTAAACAAAGTTGGCCCCGGCTACCTCACTCACCAGAAAAAACGCAGAAATGTAACACTTCTACTTTACGCCTGTCTTCTGTGAGGTCGTGGTACTTACCTGGACGGGCCTGCCCATTCGTGCAACAGTGGATAATGTTGCGTGCCCCTACCACAAACCTAATCATATCTATAATAAATTGATATTTTGGAGAGAGTCAGATTGAAGTATGGCGAGGACGCTAATTGGGTCATGTAATACAAAAAATACTCAACAGTTTTCATCATCATTGGGTATGGTGTAAAAACAATTCGAGACTTTTCTACGACAATTGAATATTTAGGTATTTATGTCACCGTGGTCAGCTCTTAATAGAAATAATGTAATATTGAATTAAGCAGCCAACCGTTTTTTAACAAATATATTCAGTTTGGGGATCGTGGTCTAGACCCGATGGGTCTCACTAGACACCTTTAATGACACAAAATAATTTCGTATATTTTCGCGAAGACTCTTCTCTTCTGTTTTCTATTTAAAAAGATATTGCCTTAACTGTAGACTAACATGCGTGTTGTTCCACTTTTCATGATAACTTGCCGACTTAATAGAAAAGGAAAATGTGAGAAGATAAGGCGATGGAGAATAGTTTAAAGTAAGCCCTTAAAGTTATCCTGTGTTACCTATAAGGACATTTAACAAACATAAATTTCAGGTGGACCCCAATGAAACCGAAACAATTTTCTGTGGATCACACAAATAATTATACCTTGTGGGAATCGAGACCACAACCCCTGATGCCAAAACCAACACATTGGCCACTATGCCGAAACCAATACATGGGCAACTACAGCACAAAGTCATTAGGTCATCAATACTATACTTTGCTAAAGAAAACTATTTTACGTTTTTCACGCGTTTGATTTTCGTTTTACTTCCCATTATCATTTTAGTAATATTAACGTCTAGAATTAGAACCATAATTAATAGCGATTAATTCCGTAAATTAGTCTCATTTAACAATATTTACTACAACATTTCAAAATTATTATATAATTTCGTAATAAGTATTACAATTTGAAAAAAACTCAATATATTAAATGCAGGATATATAAATCTAGTCTTACGTTATAATCTAAACTGAATTTAAAATAAACTTATGTACACTTAAGTTACTTAAATATTTACAAAACTAAATCCTTACTTAGCTAAAGTCACAACTGTCTGACTGTAAAGCAACGTCATATAGAAGATAAAGTTTATCAATAACAATATCATGAATGAGTATTTATAAATTAAAAATAAATAGGCCCACATAAATGTATTCTTATTATTATAAAATAACAATTTACTAGCAAACTTACTGTTTACGTAATATTCATTAACGTATAACAATGCAGTTATTGATTTTCATAATATATTACCGTATAAATAGAAAATAAAAAAGTGTGTAGTGTGCTTATTTACACGCGTTAGAAGTTATACTTCCTTGGCGTAACAAGGTAAAAATCTTTTTTAATTTCGCCTCATTCTACGTTTGTAGAAAAAACGAAACTAACAATACGAATAAACTTTTAATTTGATTCAATACATATGAGCGGATATCACATACATGCAAAACTAACATGTGGTGGTAAATATCGTGAATACAGTTGTGAGTTCTAACGCAAACGTATGTAGATGTCTAGCTAACTTCAGGGTGTCGGTTTTTTCGTGACGGTGTGCGCGCGCATCGTAAAAATTTACTCTCATAATTTTTTAAACGATTTAAGATTATTTACAACTTTTTTATTAAGAAAAAAAACAAAACCGACTTAAAATATCTTACTCACTGTACTATTCGATTTTAAGGTCCTTTCTGATTCATCTCCGGACTACAAGGTCTTATAGTAATTAAATTATTCTGTGACCACATAATAACTTGATAAGACTAAACTGAACCCAATACAAAAACTATTTTCAAAATCAGTAAAAAACAAAAGAAACCGAATTGATAGGTACCACCTACTTTTTAAAGTCGGTTGAAAATCAACTGTAAACGTACGGAATAGACTAAAGAGTAGACAGACGAGTGAGATAGGTAATAAACACTTTTCACAACTGACCGTTGATATGTATTGTTATTTATTTTATATGCCGCTGCTGAAGTTCGGCGTCTTCACGAAGTAAGTAGTCAGCGTGCCCTTCCCTTTGACGTAAGTGGGTCCACGGCACTCGCAGCTGTAGCCGACGTTCATAAGGACCCTGAAATTGGGACCCTGAATTAGGAAAATTTTCAGGATCAAAGATCGAAGATTTAAGCGCATAGAGCTATTTCATTCGGGCTATTTCCATCAGACAATGTTAGAATCTATCGCCGGTCTAAGAATTTAGAACTGTCGAAGGGAAAACAGTTCAGTTAACTTTGGACCTAATCTACGTATTTTTAATGTGACCATAAGATTCGTATAAAATAAATAGCAACCAAAGGTGTCGTCACATCGGCACTAGTTTTAGTCTTCTTAACCCTCTTGCCGTCACCCCACTAAGGTGGGGTTGGTAACATGTAAATCATATTATTATCGTTAATGCTTCTGACGAGGTTTTTTTACAAGTAGCCGCCTGACGTCGTTCGGAACAAACACCCAGATCTAAAACAATCGAATCTACGACCCCCGCGACGGTGGTAGGGCCACGCAGCAGCCTCGGCTGTTGCACCAATGGGCAGGCTCGTCCGGGTAAGTACCACGACCTCACAGAAGTGCGGTGTAAAGTGGAAGTATGACAAATACTTTCGTGTTTCGTCTGGTGAGTGAGGTGGCCGGAGCCCAATTATCAAAAGTTTGTCAACGCATCTGCGACCCTCGGGTTTAGCAGATGTCTATGGACGGCGGTCTTCACTTAACATCAGGTGTACCGTCTGCTCGCTTGGCAACTTTTCACATAAAAAAAAGAAGCTTAGCAACTGCGCCTCTGAGTCTTAATCTTGTACACTTTTATTTACTTTATTTTTCACTTTAGTTATTACGCGTAAGATGGCGCCCATGGACATCTGCAACATCTCTGAGATTGAAGATGAATTGCAAACTTCCATTTAATAGAGTAAACCATTTAATAACTTTAATAGAGTTATCTATCCATTTAATAGAGTAAGTAAATATGCCCAGAATACATTACTCAGTCACACTCGAAAGTATAATAATTCCACATTACGCCTGTTTTATGTGAGGCCGTGGTACTTCCCCGGATGATTCTCTCCATTTTTACAACATTATAGACCGCATTAATTACCAAATAAAAACAGGTACATTATTATAACAGAGTGATTATTTCTATCATATTTTATTAGAGCTTATACTTTTACGTTAAAATAACTCTTGGGCTATAATTAAAACTATATAATGATAATGCATGAAATGTGCAGCAAATAGTTACATGTAAAATTTTGCTATTTATTTCTCAAAGGCGTTCTAATTTCAATGAAAATGTGTGTTATTGAAAAATTACATGTATTAAATGAAAATATGCAAATTTTTGTTCATTCCATGAAAACCATATAAAACTATATAGATGGTAGTTTATACTATAACTGTGGTAGGGCCACGCACCATCGTTCACTTTTGCACGAATGGGCAGGTCCATCCGGGTAAGTAACCACCACCTTACAGAAGTCCGGTATAGTGGAAGTGTCATACTTCTGCGTTTCGTCTGGTGAGTGCGGTAGCCGGAGCCCACTTTATTTAAATGAGCAATGAATTTGCAATCCTACGGGTGTTGCAAATGTCTATGTGTGGTGGTTATAACCTAACATCAGGTGAACCGCCGGCTCGTTTGCCACTTTCTTGCATAAAAAACAATCCGGACTGACTTTATGGATCTTTAAAATCCCTATTTCTTTGTACTGGCAATAACTATGTACCTATCACATCTTAATGTTTCAACTTTGCAAATTTATTTAGGTCGTTATTAAAGTCGTCTAAATAAAAAAGAAACAATACAAACCCGACTGGTCTACACTGGAGATAATGTTGAAAAACGTAAACTATTTTCTCACTTGATCCTTCAAAGGTGGAATGGATTTAATTTATGTAAAAGTTTACATTGGTAAGGGAGAATTAACTATTTCAGATGACGACATGGCGCTGTTGTCTAGGTATTGGCTTCGGTGCCGGGTAATCGTGGGTTCGATTCCGGGACGAATATTTGTGTAACCGACAGATAATTGGGTCAGATCTGGCTGTTTGTCCATTTGAAATCTATGTATGTAAAACGTATACACACACGATAATGTTATCTTAAAGTAAGGGCAATGTGGAAAGCATAAAAGTGGGTTAGTGAAATTACTCGGAATTAAAGGTAAATGCCAAAAAGATGTTATCGGATACCACGGCAACGCAAAGTTGGTGACGATTTTATGTGCCGCGCACCGTGAAGATTCACTCTCATCATTCGGAAACACACCAAAAGAAGTACATCTTCATAAAAAAAATTGCAGAAAGGAGCTCGAATACGAGAAAATCAAAAGCTAGTAAACAATGTAATAATACAAACAGAAAAGAATATTTCAGAAAGTAGCTTCAAAAACGAGACCCTTGAGAGCTAAAATACAATATTTAAAAAGACACGGGGAAGAAACTATTGTAGAGAGGGGCTAGAATACGAGGCTGCGCTCGAGAAGCGCTCGAGACAGTAAGGAGCTAGAATGTGGAACAAAACATACAAGTAAGAAAGAAAAAGACAATGTGAAAAGAAAATTTTGAAAAATCTATTGTAGAAAGCTAAGAGCTGCTGTCAAGAGCTAGAGGAACAAGAAGCAGGTGCGGTCATTTAAAAAAGCCGTTGTGGAAAAGTAGTGCTGTTAAAAGCTAGAATGAGGAGGGGGCTTACTTGGCGGTGTGAACCAATGCAGTTAAGAACTAGAGGGAGGAGGAAGCTCACTTGGCAGTGTGAACCAGTGCAGTTAAGAACTAGAGGGAGGAGCAAGCTCACTTGGCGGTGTGAACCAGTGCAGTTAAGAACTAGAGGGTGGAGGAAGCTTACTTGGCGGTGTGAACCAGTGCAGTTAAGAACTAGAGGGAGGAGGAAGCTCACTTGGCGGTGTGAACCAGTGCAGTTAAGAACTAGAGGGAGGAGGAAGCTCACTTGGCGGTGTGAACCAGTGCAGTTAAGAACTAGAGGGAGGAGGAAGCTCACTTGGCGGTGTGAACCAGTGCAGTTAAGAACTAGAGGGAGGAGGAAGCTCACTTGGCGGTGTGAACCAGTGCAGTTAAGAACTAGAGGGAGGAGCAAGCTCACTTGGCGTTGTGAACCAGTGCAGTTAAGAACTAGAGGGAGGAGCAAGCTCACTTGGCGGTGTGAACCAGTGCAGTTAAGAACTAGAGGGTGGAGGAAGCTTACTTGGCGGTGTGAACCAGTGCAGTTAAGAACTAGAGGGAGGAGGAAGCTCACTTGGCGGTGTGAACCAGTGCAGTTAAGAACTAGAGGGAGGAGGAAGCTCACTTGGCGTTGTGAACCAGTGCAGTTAAGAACTAGAGGGAGGAGCAAGCTCACTTGGCGGTGTGAACCAGTGCAGTTAAGAACTAGAGGGTGGAGGAAGCTTACTTGGCGGTGTGAACCAGTGCAGTTAAGAACTAGAGGGAGGAGGAAGCTCACTTGGCGGTGTGAACCAGTGCAGTTAAGAACTAGAGGGAGGAGCAAGCTCACTTGGCGGTGTGAACCAGTGCAGTTAAGAACTAGAGGGTGGAGGAAGCTTACTTGGCGGTGTGAACCAGTGCAGTTAAGAACTAGAGGGAGGAGGAAGCTCACTTGGCGGTGTGAACCAGTGCAGTTAAGAACTAGAGGGAGGAGCAAGCTCACTTGGCGGTGTGAACCAGTGCAGTTAAGAACTAGAGGGAGGAGCAAGCTCACTTGGCGGTGTGAACCAGTGCAGTTAAGAACTAGAGGGAGGAGGAAGCTCACTTGGCGGTGTGAACCAGTGCAGTTAAGAACTAGAGGGAGGAGGAAGCTCACTTGGCGGTGTGAACCAGTGCAGTTAAGAACTAGAGGGAGGAGCAAGCTCACTTGGCGGTGTGAACCAGTGCAGTTAAGAACTAGAGGGAGGAGCAAGCTCACTTGGCGGTGTGAACCAGTGCAGTTAAGAACTAGAGGGAGGAGGAAGCTCACTTGGCGGTGTGAACCAGTGCAGTTAAGAACTAGAGGGAGGAGGAAGCTCACTTGGCGGTGTGAACCAGTGCAGTTAAGAACTAGAGGGAGGAGCAAGCTCACTTGGCGGTGTGAACCAGTGCAGTTAAGAACTAGAGGGAGGAGCAAGCTCACTTGGCGGTGTGAACCAGTGCAGTTAAGAACTAGAGGGAGGAGCAAGCTCACTTGGCGGTGTCTTCGGTGACGTGGATCCTGCCCATGAGGCCGGTGGAGTCCATCCGCGAGGCGACGTTCACGGTGTTGCCCCAGATGTCGTACTGCGGCTTCTGCGCCCCCACCACGCCCGCTATCACCGGCCCGTGGTTCAGACCTGGTACAAAAGCGGATACAAAGACTAACTCCATTGAGCAACTAACTGGCTAACTTTACGAAAAAAAAAAGTAAAAAGTAAAAGTATGTTTATCAGTTATCTAGTGCCCATAGTGCAAGCGTTGCTTAGTTTGGGACTAGAGAACGTTGTGTAAAAATGTGTCCTAAAATAAAAAAAATTAAAAGAAACTCGTTCACGCGAGAGTGTATACGCTTCTACATACAACGCCCCAGTTACCGCGCGAAGCTTGCCCATTAACAGATTTAAGAAATCAAATAAAGAGAAGCTTTATAAAAGGCTTATCCATACTAATATTATATATGCGAAATTAACTCTGTCCGTCTCGCTTTCACGCCAAAACTAATGAACCGATTTAAATTAAATGTGGTACATAGATAGTCTAGAAGCTGGGAAAGGACATAGGCTAGATTTTAATTCGAAAAAAGTTTAGTAAAGGGTTGAAGAGGGGGAAGAAAAGTTGTATGAGAGTATTGTCATTTTCACAACAAGAAGCATAAAAATTTTATTTTAGGCTGTTAAATATCCACGCGGACGAAGTAGTGGGCGCAGCTAGTTATAATATAAATAAATACATTAATGACAATTACGCATAGAAATGAGTTGATCGCTCTCAAGCTATTTCTAAAAGAAGAAAAAACGATTTTTAATGAAGAGTTTTTTAGGGTTCCGTACACAATGGTAAAACGGAAAACCCTATTACTGAAATACCACTCTGTCTGTCCGTCTGTCACCAGGCTGTATCTCATGAACCGTGATAGTTAGACAATTGAGATTTTCACAGGCGGTGTATTTCTGTTGCCGCTTTAACGACAAATATTAAAAAAACTGGAAAAAACATAGCGGGTGTCTCTCATACATCGACCCTTACTCGCACTCGGCCGGTTTATTTCTACACATTCTAACCACATCACCAGCTCCACCAACCTATCCTCAGTTTAAACCGCTGGAAGGACTCCCTGTTGATCTGGTCCAGGATCGTCATCAGGGCTACCGCGAACTCGACGAGGATCGCCACCGTGTGCTCCTCCTTCCTGTTCGCGTCCTGTTGCAAAGGAATCAAAGACAATTGTTTTTTTTTTTATTTTATTTATTTAAACAGAATTACGAGCTAAACACATAAAAACAATTATTATTCCGAAGTAGTGCGGAGATACTTTTGGTTTTATTTGGACTGTATAACTGCGGTGCGTAAAGACGTCGTTGGTACCTAAAGTAAACAAGTTAACTTAATACGACGTATTTACTCGTGACCTGACAGACAGACCTGACTTTACAAAAAGTCGATAAAAAAGCGAATTAAATTTGTTTATTGTGTATGTTTGTGCACTACAAGATCTTCATTGTATCTTACTATATTTTTTTTAAATACATTGCCCTTAAAAATTTAACGATAACATTATCTTGTGCTGTAAGGACGTTGTACTTATGATTAAGTTCAACATTGTGTGTATGCATTTGAATTAAAGGTAAACACAACATCGAGTAAAATGTCTCATTTATGGACATCCATAACCTAACCTACAAAACTAGCAATAGTAACATAATAAATTATGAAAATTGGAAAAGTAAAACACGTGTACAGATACTTATTAAAAAGGAGAAAAGAGAAAAAAGTCAAAGGCAAAGTCTAAATTTCTTTATTCAATACAGTGCGCATTCGGCGCCTGGAGTGAAGAGTTCGATTACAACTATTTGCGGGATCCATTAATAATTGTTTAAATGTTTTTGTTTATCTATGTGTTGTCTATCTATGTGTTTGTCTAAGTGAAATTTATGTATGTAAAACATCCTTGCAACACATGATAATGTTATCATATAGTAAGGGCATTGTTTTTATCAAAAAATAAATAAATAATAAAAATAAATTGTTTTAAGGCTCCTTTTTATAAAATGATATATACAATTTGGTAAACTATAAAAGAAAAGAGTCATTCCCAATCTGTCGGTTACACATTTGAGATTACTACTAATATTTAAGATCTAATCTAAATCTACTACTAAAATTCTACTCGTAGTTTCTCATTGAGATACGAACTGCCAAGATTCTTAGCTGCAAATTTAACGGTCACATATAAATATATCAATATAAAACGTGGCAGGAGAGCGCATATATACAATTTTTTGTGTATATATGCGCTCTCCACCACTGTTAAACGTAAATGCTACGAAGTAACTCTATCTACCGCTGTTGAATAGCACTCCTATACTATTGTATTGAAACCTGTTGTACCGTGATCAAATATTAGAAAAGCAAAAGATATCAAAATCTTAACTTATCAATGTTAATGACAAAACACGTGAAATTAGCGAACCTATGAATCTCTCCCCATCCATTGGCCAACTTGTTACTAACAACTACAAGTTTCCAGGTCACAAATGCTCTGAACTCACCAACTGCTCTTCCTTGCCGGGCCTTAAGCCCGAAGCAATCATGTACGTGCTGCCGATGGTCTTGATTTTCTCTATGCAGCTGAATTTGGGCTTCAGCAGCAACTGGAAGCAAAATTACGACCAATTTAACCTTGAGTTATTCCTTATGTTAACAGTTCCACAATTCAATTCGTAATAACTTGTTGATTACCGTTACTTTAGGAAAACATTATTCTGTGTTGTAAAGACATTTAAAAACATATATTTCACGTGGACAAGCACCCACATCCAAAAAAAAAAATTATTCGTGCGTCATAAAAAATTGTTACACCATTTATGGCCAAGGAGTCATCAAAGAACTATATAAATATATATATATATACTGTGTAGCCTGTAGACTTAAATCTGACTTCAGAAAAAAATTGTATCGAGTAAGTATTCATGAAATTTGAAAAAAATAACTAAACACTAGCGTATGTGTTTTTCTCCAAATTCTACAGAAGCGCCTTTATTGGAAAAGAAATATTTCTGATACAATTGTTGTGTGCCAAAATTGAAATTTTCTTCTTTTTCCTTGCCTTATCTCAAACTGGGTGAGGTCGGTACAACACGTCCTCTTTCCACTTTCTTCTTTCAGGTCACCTCAATACTCGCCCGTTCCACAGACATATCATTCTTCACACAGTCCATCCAAATCTTTCTCGGTCTTCCTCTAGCATTACACCCACCAACCAAACTCATACACATCACTCTTCTGCTCAAATGGCTAACATCCCTTTTCAAATGCCAAAAATCAGAAATATTTACAATAATTTCGCAACACTGATGTATAGATTAACGGACATAACGGAATTTAGTACAGTCCAAAGATGATATATTGTTTGAAATCGCTGGTGATGAGTCATTAATGTGACTATCATTGACATTCACCTTTTTATGTCAATGGTATTGTAACTATGGTTGCCAACCGTTTACGAGTACAACATTTAGCATCGTACTGTTTTCGAGACTTTGTACTCTATGCTGTTGAAAAAAAAATGTACGCATAAATAAACTACTTTGATAAAATAAATATTTTCAAAACGTATGATCTAGTCCCAAAATAAAACAAAATGTTGGATCAAAACACTTGATTTATAATAAGAGACGAACCTTATCAAAGTCACAAATGATCTCGATAAGCATCAAAACACTTGCTTAATAAATAAGGTACGAACGTAATCAAAATCACAGATGATCTCTACGAACCTTATTAAAGTCGCAGATGATCTCGTTGAGCATCAAAACACTTGATTTAAAAATAAGGTACGAACGTCACAAAATCACAGATGAATCTCGACGAACCTTATCAAAGTCGCAGATGATCTCGTTGAGCATCAAAACACTTGATTAATAAATAAGGTACGAACGTAATCAAAATCACAGATGATCTCGACGAACCTTATCGAAGTCACAAATGATCTCAATGAGCATCAAAACACTTGCTTAATAAATAAGGTACGAAAGTAATCTAAATCACAGATGATCTCTACGAACCTTATTAAAGTCGCAGATGATCTCGTTGAGCATCAAAACACTTGATTTAAAAATAAGGTACGGACGTCACAAAATCACAGATGATCTCGACGATCCTTATCAAAGTCGCAGATGATCACGTTGAGCATCAAAACACTTGTTATAAAAATAAGGTACGAACGTCACAAAATCATAGATGATCTCGACGAACCTTATCAAAGTCACAGATGATCTCGTTGAGCATCAAAACACTTGCTTTAAAAATAAGGTACAAACGTCACAAAATCACAGATGATCTCGACGAACCTTATCAAAGTCGCAGATGATCTCGTTGAGCATCAAAACACTTGCTTTAAAAATAAGGTACAAACGTCACAAAATCACAGATGATCTCGACGAACCTTATCAAAGTCGCAGATGATCTCGTTGAGCATCAAAACACTTGATTTAAAAATAAGGTACGGACGTCACAAAAACACAGATGATCTCGACGAACCTTATCAAAGTCGCAGATGATCACGTTGAGCATCAAAACACTTGTTTTAAAAATAAGGTACGAACGTCACAAAATCACAGATGATCTCGACGAACCTTATCAAAGTCGCAGATGATCTCGTTGAGCATCAAAACACTTGTTTTAAAAATAAGGTACAAACGTCACAAAATCACAGATGATCTCGACGAACCTTATCAAAGTCGCAGATGATCTCGTTGAGCATCAAAACACTTGCTTTAAAAATAAGGTACAAACGTCACAAAATCACAGATGATCTCGACGAACCTTATCAAAGTCGCAGATGATCTCGTTGAGCATCAAAACACTTGTTTTAAAAATAAGGTACAAACGTCACAAAATCACAGATGATCTCGACGAACCTTATCAAAGTCGCAGATGATCTCGTTGAGCATCAAAACACTTGCTTTAAAAATAAGGTACAAACGTCACAAAATCACAGATGATCTCGACGAACCTCATCAAAGTCGCAGATGATCTCGTTGAGCATCAAAACACTTGTTTTAAAAATAAGGTACAAACGTCACAAAATCACAGATGATCTCGACGAACCTTATCAAAGTCGCAGATGATCTCGTTGAGCATCAAAACACTTGTTTTAAGAATAAGGTACAAACGTCACAAAATCACAGATGATCTCGACGAACCTTATCAAAGTCGCAGATGATCTCGTTGAGCATCAAAACACTTGCTTTAAAAATAAGGTACAAACGTCACAAAATCACAGATGATCTCGACGAACCTCATCAAAGTCGCAGATGATCTCGTTGAGCATCAAAACACTTGTTTTAAAAATAAGGTACAAACGTCACAAAATCACAGATGATCTCGACGAACCTTATCAAAGTCCGCAGATGATCTCGTTGAGCATCAAAACACTTGCTTTAAAAATAAGGTACAAACGTCACAAAATCACAGATGATCTCGACGAACCTTATCAAAGTCGCAGATGATCTCGTTGAGCATCAAAACACTTGCTTTAAAAATAAGGTACAAACGTCACAAAATCACAGATGATCTCGACGAACCTTATCAAAGTCGCAGATGATCTCGTTGAGCATCAAAACACTTGTTTTAAAAATAAGGTACGAACGTCACAAAATCACAGATGATCTCGACGAACCTTATCAAAGTCGCAGATGATCTCGTTGAGCATCAAAACACTTGTTTTAAAAATAAGGTACAAACGTCACAAAATCACAGATGATCTCGACGAACCTTATCAAAGTCGCAGATGATCTCGTTGAGCATCAAAACACTTGCTTTAAAAATAAGGTACAAACGTCACAAAATCACAGATGATCTCGACGAACCTTATCAAAGTCGCAGATGATCTCGTTGAGCATCAAAACACTTGTTTAATAAGGTACAAACGTCACAAAATCACAGATGATCTCGACGAACCTTATCAAAGTCGCAGATGATCTCGTTGAGCATCAAAACACTTGCTTTAAAAATAAGGTACAAACGTCACAAAATCACAGATGATCTCGACGAACCTCATCAAAGTCGCAGATGATCTCGTTGAGCATCAAAACACTTGTTTTAAAAATAAGGTACAAACGTCACAAAATCACAGATGATCTCGACGAACCTTATCAAAGTCGCAGATGATCTCGTTGAGCATCAAAACACTTGCTTTAAAAATAAGGTACAAACGTCACAAAATCACAGATGATCTCGACGAACCTTATCAAAGTCGCAGATGATCTCGTTGAGCATCAAAACACTTGCTTTAAAAATAAGGTACAAACGTCACAAAATCACAGATGATCTCGACGAACCTTATCAAAGTCGCAGATGATCTCGTTGAGCATCAAAACACTTGTTTTAAAAATAAGGTACAAACGTCACAAAATCACAGATGATCTCGACGAACCTTATCAAAGTCGCAGATGATCTCGTTGAGCATCAAAACACTTGCTTTAAAAATAAGGTACAAACGTCACAAAATCACAGATGATCTCGACGAACCTCATCAAAGTCGCAGATGATCTCGTTGAGCATCAAAACACTTGTTTTAAAAATAAGGTACAAACGTCACAAAATCACAGATGATTCTCGACGAACCTTATCAAAGTCGCAGATGATCTCGTTGAGCATCAAAACACTTGCTTTAAAAATAAGGTACAAACGTCACAAAATCACAGATGATCTCGACGAACCTTATCAAAGTCGCAGATGATCTCGTTGAGCATCAAAACACTTGTTTTAAAAATAAGGTACAAACGTCACAAAATCACAGATGATCTCGACGAACCTTATCAAAGTCGCAGATGATCTCGTTGAGCAGCCGCAGACACTCCAGGCCCTGCTTGTTGACATCAGTCTCGTCATAGAACTCCTTGTAGTTGGGGATGGAGGCGAACATCACCGCGATGCTCGAGTATCGCTCGTGGTACAGATCTTCCTGGTGATGATTCGTCGAGTTTTGTGAAACATACAAGCTTATTTTCAGATCGTCATTCCTAAGATATCATTTTGTGACATTGCACATAAAGAGTTACATACTCAAAGTGCAATATTAGTAGCGATAACACTTTGCACAAAAACCTTCTCAATGATATTATAATGGCCATTTTCTTCTTTTCTTTTAATGTGAAAAGTTGCCAAGCGAGCAGGCGGTTCATCTTATGTCAATAGAATACCGCCACCCATGAACATCTGCTACACCCGAGGGTTGCAGATGCGTTGACAACCTTTTGAAAATTGGGCTCCGGCTACCTCACTCATATCTGTATAAGTTTTTTTTATATGTATCTTAACTGTCTGTGCGTTTCTATCCGTGTCGTAACCCGAATATAACTTGTATACGTGGCTTATTGGTTTAATTTTAAACCATCTACAAAATGGACGTAGACTCTCGGGCTGAAATGATGAGGATGATGATTGCATTACGTTTAGTATCTGATCTCAATACTGCTCGAATAATACACGGATCTAAATTCTTATACATTTCTTACCTCTGACGCAACGGAAGTAAGAAAATGCTCAGCAACGTGGGCCGGCAGAATGTTCTCCAGCAGAATCTGGAATTGTCAGTTTCCAAATGATTATTCTTATTACATTATTAATATGACTATCATAGATCAGTAAACATTTCCTATTTATTACGATTCACCATTATTCATTTGGTAGCGTATATATTTTCGTTGTCCAATTATTCATAAAAAAAATTCTCAAAAAACATGAAATATTAATGACTTTGACTCTAAAATTTTGAATGTACGAAAGCGATCCCTAGTACTGTGTGATGAACATAGTGTTTTTCCAGTATCTGGGTGTTTACATATCTATAATTATGTATTTATTTACAAAAGAAAAGTATGTTAACTCATAAATACTTAAACAAAAGATATGTTTAAGTATTTATCAGGTATCTAGGACCTCTAGTAAAAGCGTTGTTTCAGTTTTGTTGTAGAAAACTTCACGTTTTCTACAACAAAACTGAATTGTAAATGAACTGAAAGTTGTGTCCAGTCCTGAAATAATAATAATTATTATTATTAATGTAGAAGAGTTTAATATGAGTAAGGTTACAATGAGTGACACACCTTATTTATCCCCCTCATGGTCTCCACCTCCTCCTGCTCGAATTTGAGTTTGTCCTTCCACAGGAAGTCCGTCCTGGACGTGAACTCTATCTGTCGATCGAGGATGTGGAGCAACGCAGCCAGGAATATCAACACCAGGCCTGCCTTGGCCGAATAAGGCAGCATTGAGAATCTGAAAATTAATAAATTTAATACGAGCCCTGAAATATTGCATTGCTTTCTAGAAATATAAACTGTATATTTCTCATTAATAAGAAATTAGTATTATACAATATCAAATGTCATTTTGAATTTACGAACTTAATAAGGTAACTGTGGCCACAACTAGGGCCACGCAACAATGTTCGCTGTTGCACGAATGGGCAGGTCCGTCCGGGTAAGTACCACGACCACACAGAAGACCGGCGTAAAGTGGAAATGTTACACTTCTGCGTTTTGTGTGACGACTGAGGTAGTCGGGTTCCACTTTATTAAAAAGTGGCAACGCATCTACATTCCTACGGGTGTTGCAAATGTCCATAGGCGACGGTTATCAATTAATGTCAGGTGAAACGCCAGCACGATTGCCACCTTCTCACACAAACAAACTATATATTTGAACTGAGTTGTTCAGTAAATTTTTTTTTAGAAATTTCGAGAGTTTTCTTCAATGAATACCTAGAAATGGAGGTGCGACACTCACTCTGTATCCAACTCTCCTTTCTGGTACTGATTGAACAGTTCTGCGGACGCGAACAGCGCGATGTGAGTCACCAACGTCAGGATCATCAGCACCAGCTTCATCACAAAACCGACGCGAAGGAACACCGATATCGATGCGAGGGTCAGCACTGAACTGTATATGAAGGTCTGAAATTAAGTCAGTGCGTGCTGTTAAGTTAATTGGTTATTCTATCAAACCACAGTAAAATTGTGACCAGATTTATTATACTGCCTATACTATATACGGGCCACTGCTGGGCAAAGGCCTCAGTAGAGTGGGTACTAGAGATTAGTCCTCCACGCGACCCCATTGCGGATTTGAGGTCTTCAAATATCTTCCAAATATTTTCTTTGTTATTATTTCGAAAGTGTGCAGGTTTCCTCACGATGTTTTCCCTCACCGCTGAGCATGATTTCAGCACTTAAAATTGCAATTAACAATTGAATTGAATCCGAAACCGGGATTTAAATTCGTTATTGTTATTGTTCAGTTCGATAAATGCGATTTCGGAATGGGTTAAATAATATAAAAGTATTAAAAATTAAAGATAAAAATATAATTTTTATGAGTTATCAACTCACAGGGGCTGAATCGACGTCAACGTATAACGGTACTCCGGTAATATTCTCAGATGCTGAACTATTGCTGGTACTCCAAATTTCCTCTGGGAACTCTTGTACAAGAAACGTCTGAAACTGAGATATGAGCCGCATGTTAATTACTAGCAGTAAGAAAAATTTTACCTGTAGTAGCTTATGAGTAGCTTTAAAATATAGTAGTAACTATTCGAGTAGTAAAGTAAAGAAAAGAGAAAGTGTATATTATTCCCACAGCTGGGCAAATGCCTGCTCTATACAGAGGGTATTAGGGCATAGTCCACCACGCGACCCCATCGCGGATTGGCAGATTCACATATCTTAGAAATTATTTATTATTATTATTTTGAAAATATACAGATTTTAAGTCCGCTCGTATAATTGCAATCAACAATTTCATTGGTGCGGACACAAAACAAGCGTCCGGACACAATGCTATCACCAGTAACTAGATATGCAATGTGTAAGCGATGGCCCTTAGATGACATGCCGTAGTTAAACGCACGCACGAGCACATGCGTGGCCCTACCCACAGCGGAGGGCCCAAACCCGTGGGTTCTGGCTAGCCCACAGGTTCTGCGTCAGATGAAGCTTTAATAGTCTCGAACACAATGTTCACGTGGAAAACGGCCCTAAAATATTCTGGAAAATTAAGCAGATCCATTTCGAACTTCAAAAAGGGAAAACGGAAACCGAAAAAACTGTCACCATAGGCCAAAATCGTACTGAAACATTATCGAATGCTTTTTGGTGTTAGAAATTTACGTCATAGTATAAGGTAAAACTTGCAACAGAGATTGGATTTGAAATGTTCCAGAGTTGCGTGTCAACGAAAAGAAATTAGTTTTTTCATATTTTATTTTTGGAAGTAGACACAGCAACAATGTATGAATGTGTGGATAAATGATTTCTCACTTACCAAATTTATAACTGCGCATGATCCTATCAGTAGCACCGTCACTAAGAACATGGTGAATCTTATGTAACAGTTGTTGGCAACTACCTGGAGTGAGAAAATGATTATTATTCTTAGGTTTAAAGGAACAGCTTTGAAATGACCAAACGCTGAGTAAAGGCCACAGAAAGTATTAGGCCATAATACACCATGCAAACCCACCTCGGATTGCCAGATATCACATATTCTCACGATGTTTACGATTCTTATTCACCGTTAGGTGATAAGTCAATACTTAAAATTGCAATTAACAATCACTTTGGTGCCGACATCAGGATAAAAGCTAGTTGCAAATTTACTAAAAAACAAATAATGGACGAAATGAAACGTGTGGACCTACACGTGATCTAAGAAGACACATACTGAATCCGCTTCTATTAACTTCACATTCAGCGTGATTTTAATATTTATATTTTTTTATTAGTAAGTTTTATGTTTCGCATGGCTGTATATTATATGTTTAAACCAATAATCATTAACTCTCTAAAATTTTAATAATTTTGAATCCTTACACACATACTTATTATATGAAGAACTGATAAAACAATATTTGACCCTTTGTATATTCACCAAGAAAGTACTATTTACTATTAAGTTACTATTTAAGGCAACTAATTGCCTTGTCAATAAAAAAGTAAGAAAAAGAGATTGCGAGTAAGATATTAAAAGCATAGTATCAGCCTATACATGTCCCACAGCTGGGCAACGGCCTCCTCTGTTCAAAAGGTATCAGAGCATAGTCCACCATACGGTCCCACTGCGGATTGGCGAACTTCAGATATATCCGAAGTATTTTTTTATTGTTAATTCAAAAATATGCAGGTTCCCTCACGATATTTTCCTTCACCGCTGAGCACGTGATAATTCAGCACTTAAAATTAACAATTTCATTGGTGCCGACACCTCAGGAACTCATCGAACTCTGAACGTATCGAACTCAGGTTGCTCGAGTATATTGAATTAAAGGCGAGCGCCCGGACACTGAGCTATCACGGCTAGGTATTAAAAGTAAACAATTATAATTTAACAGTTGAAAGAAAGGCAGAATGAGTTAATACGCACCTGTCCAGGTTTGTAACAATTGTCGGCATAGTCATCGGCCAGGCGAGGCATGTCAGACAGCAAGCTCATCCCTAGTCCGGGAAAGTGACCGTCACACCACGACAGATACATAAACACCACCAGTGTCAGCAAAGTTGGCCCAAAAGACGCGTACATAACTATGCTCCTGTAAATATTTCATATCTTTTTAGACATAAACATCAGAATGACTATATACTATTGTTTCTGTCTCCTAGGGTTTTTTTTACTAGTGTTTCTATCAACTATGATGATGGAAAGAATAGAAATGAAAAGAACGTAAAGTTAAAATAAGAAACAATTTTGCAACTTTGAAGAGATTAGACTAGAAAGCTAATCAACAATTTGGATTATTAGCAGAAGGATTACTATCACCATTCTTATGTAAGTCTTATAATATGGTATTCAGCTGAATGAACTTCTTTGGGTCTTTAGCCTTTTTTGGGCTCGTAAAACAACTCGATCTGTCCTGGTCTGAACTCTGTAAAGTTTTCGAACATAACGATGGTGACTCCATGGCGCAATTGTTTGGTACTGGCTTCGGCGCCGGGGAACGTGGGTTCTATTCCCACACGGAGCAACTATTTGTGTGACCGTCAGATAATGGTTACGGATATGGGTGGTTGTCCATGCGCAATCTGTATACGTAATTCGTCTTTACAACACAGATAGCGTTATCCTACAGCATTTTTTCTATAAAGTAAAAAAAAACTGCTTAGTTCTATACTTTTATCCCACCTGATGGTAAGTGGGGTTGCAACCGCAGCAGATTTTAAGTGGTTACCGCCACCCATGTACATCAAGATCATCAGAGATAGCAGATACTTTGCCAGCTTTTAAATAGTGGCTACCTCATTCACCAGGCGAAACACAAAGGTATAGTTCTTCGGCTTATCACCATTCTCCTGTGCGGCAGTGGTACTTCTCTGAACGAGCCTGCCCATTCGTGCAACAGCAGAAGGTGCTGCGGCCTTACCACAGTTGAATTATTCAATTTACTCACTTGGGTACGGTCAGCATTTGAATGAAGGCCAGGAGTGAGAAGAGGGCAGTGGCGCACGCGACGTTGTACTTGAACTGGGCATCGCTCTGGTCGCGGTACTGGCTTTCCTGGTCTCCGTTCTTGAACCACAGAGTGACGCGGTTCATCCCCTCCGAGTTGTTGCTGCAGTCGCAGCAGGTCCTTTGCGGGAGCAAGTTTTGCTCTATCATCGCTAGGCTCTGAAAACGTGCGCCACTTAAAACGTATTACTTTATTGACTTTTACTCTTCATTTAGATTTGTTAGTCGAATAACTTTTAAAGAGAATGTTAAATTTTTCGATTAAGTAATTATGTCACGTAGGGTTGTACTATTAGAAATTGGGAATGTTGCATTTTTGGAAAATTTAAATGACTAACGCCATCCTTTTAGGATACTAATATATAGGAAATACGTAAGATAATAGGAAGTACGGAATTTTGAGTCATTCTTTTCTCCCATTGTTTTAAATCATCGATCCATTATCATCATTTATGTTACAATTTATTTACGGCTTAAGTTTAGAACAATATTATTACAATAGTACATAGTGAAAGCGATCAATCAAAAGTTTAAAAATTGCAAAATGTAGAAATACATGGAAATGATAATAACATTTTCGTTGTATAAGGAGATCTTAACTATCGCCTAATGAACGACTCACCGAAATACCAATATTCTTTGCCAGAGTTGAGTCAGTGATGTTCGCGAACGGTTTGTCCGCACCCCAGCATTCCACGTACTTCGTCATTTTGCTAGATGGGCGAGATCTAGATGGAACGCCCGGTGTAGCTAAAACCAAGCCCGTTGATGACGTAAACTTAGAAACAATAAAAACGTCATCACACGATAAATCAAATCTTTTGCAATACAAATCAATAACTAACTATGAAGAGACACTCTTTGTAACAGACGTCCTAAAGCAGTATAAAGGACGAAGTTAGTAAAAATTTTCACACACTGCCTTGTAGGTTTTAGTTACAAGTGGAGACAACTTCTCATCAAAGGAATCACTCTCAATCAATGTTACATTACAGTATGTGGTTTCTGATCAGATGTAATTTACAGACCATTTTGAAAAACTTGAATAAACAACGCAACAAACGTGTGATCACAAACTTTAATGAAATCCATGTTTGTGCAAAAATAATGTTCCTTGTGCTTAACATTTGAATGGTACACGGTGAATGTTTAGTTGAACAGATAAAAAAACTGTAAGTCACCGACTTTATACTGTGTACATTATTTTATTACTTTTCTAAATTTTTTTCGTTAAAGTTTCGTTTAATAATGTTTATTTTTCGCATAATTATACGAAATTGCAATTTTTACTTAAATAATACAATTTAGCTCAGTATATCGATATCTCAATAACAGCGAACTTCAAAACAGATTTACTGAATTAAATCTTTCTGTGTCTGAGTCTGTGAAATCAACAAAAGCATTCCATTAACTTTTAATTAAAATCTCCATTATACTTACAGGCAAACGATTAAAGGATATTCTGGATTTAAAAATGTTTTCTTAGCTTCGTCCAACAGTCAAATAACGTAATGAACTTTGCTTTTATAAAGTCACTAATATCTCAAAGCGACTCAAGTGAAGAAAAAAATTAATTCAAGTCAACAATCTTTGAATTGAGGACATTTGATTCATAATCATCTTGAAAGTTAAAACTAAAGTTTTTCTACAAATTTTAATGTTTAATCTTAAGTGCAAAGATTAGCACGATAATAATTTAAATTTCATCTTAAAAGTTGTTAACAATCATAGTGAAGTAATTTTTTTTCAGACCCGTTGGACTATCAGCACAGTGCGTGCATTAAGTAAATACCAATAGAATCAGAATCGAATGAAAAAAATTGCCGTCGCGAGATGATTTGTTTGATTGCGTAGACATTAAACATCGAAATTATGTTATACAGATAATATGCATAAAAGGATATTTTATATAATAAAACTAAATATGGCATAGTCAAAATTTAAATAATCAGATTTTTTTTTTTTTAAAGACAAAGATGATTATTTATTTGTCATCACTTGCACGTCACCACACCGTATAAGATGTTTCATACTATCGTATTATCATATACTGTCGGCGTGGCAATGTATTACGCGGCGACGCGTCGCCACGTAAACTGTAGGTCTGACACGCCGCAAGAGTTTCACATCAAAAGAAATACAAAAAGTGAATGGAACAGATGCATCAAATGGTTTGTGTATCTGTTCATTTCGTTTGTGCCAGAATTGTGTCTCTTCCAAGACATTATTGAAAAAGAAAACAATGTACACAGTATTAATTTTCTTCAAATAAGTCCATCGCGGCACTAACGTTGTGAATCCATTGATATTGTACTTATCATCCTAAGAAATAGAGTTGGCCGCGTAGTTTCCATCTCTTGGTGAGACTCTGTATCACTTTCTGAAGGGGAAATTATTTTTAAATTAATAAAATCTCTACGGTATTTTAAAATCAGACTACTTATATTTTATAGAATTCAAATTGAGAATTTTCTTACTCGTGTTATGTTAGCAATGCTTCCATAACCTTCCAATAGTTTGCTTTGGATACGTATATTTCATGAACTTGATATTATCTTTTTACTTTTTTTTTTAATTCTCAATAGCTCTACACCAAAATTCAAAGCGAATTGAATAAAAGGTAACAACATTTAAAAAAAAATTTAGTGACGAAGAAATCCCTAAGTTAGTACTTTGCCACAACAATTTAAGTCATCGTCTTTTAAGTGAAATATGACCCTGCCTATCTCAGATGACACTTTCGAGGAATCGAATCAATTATTGATCTCTGGCCATTGTGTGGTTTAATTATAAATAAATATTTTCATTACATATGTATACGTCATTTAGTTGCAAACTAAGCAACGTTTGCTATTGATCACTGATACACACTTTTCTTTCATGTATCCCGGGAAAACACTTTGTTCATCACACAATATTTCTACAGTAGTAGAGATGGAACCCACAGCCTCTAATCCACTATCCACTACGCCAATAGAGTCGTTTTAGCTTTTAAGCAAAAAAAACCTTACCTGTACCCATTATAGGACTGATGGCGCCAATAATAGAGCCACTCCTACTTTTGGGTTTGGTGCTGACTGTACCATTCGTTAATCCATCACCAGCATTCGCACTGTTGTTGTTTTCGAATGCCACGGTCTTTAGACCTTCCACTCTTACAGAAGCTCTGCGACTTAGATCTGAAATCGTTTTACATTAAGAAAGCAGACGTAGATAGCCGTTTTGGAGAACGTTTAATGTCACCTTAACGTCTATGAAAGAAAACGCCAATTGTACTTAATCAGGTTCTGCTTACACAATTATTTTGTATACACAACATTTTCATGTTTTTGTTTTATTTGCCAAGCGACCACGTGGTTCAACTGATATTAAGTGTTTACCCCTCTCATGGACATGAGCAACACCAGACGGGTTACAGGTGCGTTGCCAACCTTTAAAAACCTTGTTTACTATTCACCTCACACATCAGACGAAACGCAAAGCTTCTGTGAGGTCGTAGTACGGTTCCCTGGAAAGCCTACCCATTCATGCAACTACAAAACCTGATACGTGGTCCTACCGCTAAATTTAAATTAGAGGAAGAAACAATTATTTTTAATGTTTCTGAATTTATTTTATCATCTTAACCATGTTTCAATAAAGGTGACGCATGATACGGAATATGATACGGAAATATATAGCAGTCTATAGAATTGCAATGTAATTACACCAATTGGTGTAATTTGTGTGCCTCATATTCGGTGCTAGCGCACCGATCATATCTTCCGTGTCATATCACTGTCTTAACCAGTTTGATAAAAAAAAATTAATTGGTGTAAACAAAATCTTATGCATTCGGAAATGTAATAGTAAGATTGAGTTGATTACCTCCGGGGTTACGAAGCGACTCGGTTCTCAAGACCTTCGTGGTTTCCTGCTCAACGAAACTGTGCTGCGAAGGTGCCGGGCTGATGTTTTCCCTTGGCCTGGTTGGAGAGACATCTTGGTATAGCGAGGATACTATGCTTGCTTTGCGATCGACTGTACACACAGACAAACGGCCGTTTTCCGATATTCCCGTCGGTTTCTATAAAAAAAACAACCTTCAATAATTCGTAAGACGTTAAATGCAATGAATACTTTGTTATAAAACTCCATATTCGCTTCGTTTCCAATAATATAAGGAACACTTTATAGTACAGGAGAAAGGTAAACCTTCATCATCATTATCATCGTCATTTCAGCCTGTTAGACTCCACTGCTGAACATAGTCCTCCCCTACAGACTGCCACGAAGTACGATCCTGCATCGACTTCTAACACACTTCCACAGCTCGTCACTAGCCCCCCACAGCCCCCAGATGGTAGTGGGGGGTCGTCCCAGGTAAATCTTAAAACCTTATATTTGTTACTACCATTGCATTAAATATACAAATAAAGAATTAGAAATCAACTGGCCTACATAATTATATTGTTAGTGGATTGGTGGATTATCGACTCGACTTTAAAATAAATATCAAATAACGCCGCCTTCTATACTTGATGAGAGCTCAAATAATTAAGAGAAAACAAAAACAAAATAAGATATTCCTCGTCTTACAAATTTATTTCGCTATACAATAACATTATGAATTTTCTCAGGGAAATTTAAGTGTAATCAAATCTTATAATCAAAAGAATGGGCAATTAATAATTAAAATACGAAGCCAATTTCATCCAACATGATATCTTTCATGCTCTTCTAGTTAAGTTATCAAAATACTTGGTTATATGACTCGGTTCTGGAACTTATTTTAAATTCGCAACTTGAGGCCTGATATAGAAAGTGGCTCACTCTTCATATATTCGTAGCATATTTTATACAAAACAATGCTATAAGTAATCATCATCAGCATTTTAATGAATTCACAGTAAGTATAATACCAAGTTTAATAATAAAACCTTCTGTTAACAAAGTGACATGAACGTCACACTAAATAGAAATTGAAACGACAAAATAAATGGAACAGTCCGTGTAAAGATAATCTTATCAGATCCAACAGAGCGATAGTGTTGAATGAAATTCAAATCAGAGTGGCAAAATGTGTACTTGGTACGAGACATGACATAACAAACAGTGTCCATTCTATACATTAAATTAAAGTGGTTACAGTTTACGAGGATGCCGCAGCGATGAAATCACGTTGACGCCAGTTGGACGCGGCTGGAGAGACAAATTACTCAAAATAATCTTGTCTCGGACCGTAATATAATTTTAAGATCAAAATGGCTGACACCCAGCGATTGTCTTGACTGCCGACCACTTCACGCGACGGGCACGACACGATTGTTCGCACGAGAAGCAGAGAAACATGTTTTTTTAGTTATCATGTAAACGTTTTCAGTTGCCATTATATAATTGGTTCACAGTTTTTGTACAATTTGTTTTCTCAGTTAAGTAATTTTATTCAACAATAAATTAATAATTATATTATTAGTAAGGCTAAAAAAGTATAACTTCGTGGATGATGATCTATAGATTGTAATGTTAACTTTTTTTTTTTTTTTATGTGATTAGTTGCCAAACGAGCAGAAGGTTCACCTGATGGTAAGTGAATACCGCCGCCCATGAACATCTGCTACACCCGAGGGTTACAGATGTGTTGACAACCTTTTGAAAATTGGGCTCCGGCTACCTCACTCACCAGACGAAACGCGAAAGTATTTGTCATACTTCCACTTTACGCTGGTCTTCTGTGAGGTCGTGGTACTTACCCGGACGGGCCTGCCCATTCGTGCAACAGCCGAGGTTGCTGCGTGGCCCTACCACCGTAAAACTATAATTTATTTGACATGAAATACTTCTACTATTAAATTATTTGTTTTTCTTTAGGGCACGCTGTAAAAGCGCGTCACATATCATTTCGCCGCCGAAGTTGCTAGGAAGGATGTCGGTAAAAATTATAATGAAATAATCCTTATCCAAAATCATTATTTAATAATTTTAAAAATTGTACTTTTTGGAACTTTCAATTAAAGGAAAAAAGAAAAAAGCCGATGAAATAATTTTACTTTCGTTTTACTCGAATACAACAACGTTAATATGTGTACCTTGTTTCGTTTTCCAAAAGTTGTCAATCGATTCGATCGTGAGTTTGTTAGAAGACTTCGTCGTGGCCGAAGTGAACATTAAATCCCTACTTCCGTTTGAATTAACCTCAGCGTTTTCATTAAAGCTCGGCAATTGACGTTGAGCATTTTCTCTCACCCCTCGTTTCTTTCTAAGTTCTGCAATTAACATGCGTCCATTTCTTCCGTGAATTTTTCTTTCTTCCGAGACAAAGGCCTAAATGCTCTTTTTAAATTCAATTAGGTATACTTCGCTTCCCCCAGTAATTCAGTATGTTTTATCTATGATATAGCAATTTTGATCGATCTTCATTCCAGAATGTAACGTACTCGTAATAAATCGTCGAAATTTGTAATATTCTTTTTTTACATTGCTATTATTATTTATTTGTGAACTGGGTCCCTGGTTCTTGAATTTAAAAGTCGGACCATTATATTCTAAGCCACCTTCATTTTCTTACCTTATACATTTTCCGAATCCAATAAATTTTACAATGAATTTTATTATTAAAGATCTGCACATCAAAGGAAAATGGTAAGCTATAATTTAAAATTTATGACCTCACAAACTCAATTACTAAGTCTGATTATAACCCATAGTTTTGTATCTACTTTTTTATATCTTTAGTATACTGTACGGCTGCAGAGCCGTGATAGCTCAGTGTCCGGGCGCTGGCCTTTAATTCAATATACTTGAGCAACCTCAGTTCGTTCTCACATGCCGGTCCAAACAATGAAATTGTTAATTTTAAGTGCTGACTTATCACGTGCTCCGCGGTGAAGGAAAACATCGTGAGGAAACCTGCATGTTTTCGAAATAATCACAAAAATCTTAATATTTCGAAAATATGTGAAATCTGCCAATTCGCAGTGAGATCGAGTGATGGGCTTTACCCTAATACCCGAACAAACAAACATTCTGATAATTTCATACGATTTATCAACTAATGCTTAACAAGTGTTACGTTTCAGATTATGAAAGCGGTGAAAGATCCATCTTGCTCTGAAACTAATTTGGCGACGCTCCTTGCGCTAAAAGCATCATTGTCACGAGGGGTCATCAATCATCTGACGATGAAAGCTCCGCTGTCTTTATTACGCTTAGGGCTTAAGCGACCCATAATAACTGCACACAAATCTCAATAATTTCCGACTGAATCCTTGAATACTCACACCAACCTATTTGATCAAGAGCTTCTACAAATCAAGCGTAGGTTAGGTTTTGTAACGAGTCTCAATTTATACCGTATTCGAGAAGTGGTAGGTTTTATCGAAGTCATCGGAGATTTATCGTTACAGTAAAAGTTTCTTTATTCAATATGGAATTAATTAAAGATCTTATTAAACGTCAAAAAACTACCACCCGGTTCAATAAACTAGACTTTTTTAAGTTATGTAAGCACAAAAAAGTATTTAAGTATTCTTCGACATTATAATAGGACCTTTCCTTTATTGTAGCTTTTAAAAAATGTTTGAAATTGTTTACACTTAATTGTTTGTGAATGTCACCTATTTTATCATATACTCGGAAATTAATACAACCTTCAAGAAACAGTAGTTCAATAGTAATCGTTTTAGCGGGAATCATAAAAGACAGACGAACTGAGCTATCTTTCATAGATTGCGACATAGACGCTGGTCAAAAACATTCTGGTGCCCAATGTTCTTGTCTTTCACACAGTATAGGCTCAGATATACAACATTACTGACAGTGTATCCATCACCCAACAACTAATCAATGAGCTGCCGATGCCTTCAGTTTCTAAATAACCGCGGTGGTCTTACTTTCTTTTAAAAAACATTATAGAGATCTATGTCATTTTAATGACAATACATATTCATAGTTTCCTTAATTGTAAAGTATCACCTCTGTTATTTGAAATCGAATAAATACTGGCGAACCCAACTTCCGTTTGACTCTGCCTCGATACAGATATAAAAAAAAAAAAAACTTTTAAGTCTCAACTTTCTCATAACTTAACGATCCAATCTAAACTTTTAAGTAACTTAGAGGAAGTGTTTTAATTAATCAAAGACCAAAATCCACCTTAAACCTTCTTCTCCAAAAATTTGTTGCGTTGAATATTAAAGAGGCACGAAAGAGTTCAAACCAAGTTTTTAAAAGGGACATCGGGGGCGTCGAAAATAAAATATAACGGAATCGTTTCGTTCGGTTAAAACAATAATTGATCTTTTACTAAGAGTGAAACAGTTACATCATGTCCATAGCTGGTTTTCAGGTAAACCGCATCCATTGACAATGTCTCGAAGATAGTATATGATAAAAGCTCCTAGGTACCATTTTACCTTACAGCTTAGTTCCTTACAACAATGTTAAATTTCATAATTTCACAATTAAATTTTCAAGCATTCTGTTAAAAAATGTACTTTCATAAAAATTTTCGCCAGAGATAAAAAGTAAATTTTTGGCAACATTTATATTGTTTGCGGAATTGTTATTATATTACTTTGGATTAGACTCCGCGTGATAGAGTTCGCAACGAAGACGTCCGCAGTAGAACAAACGTAACCTATGTCGGTTACGCTCGGAAGATAAGTAAGCTGAAGTGGCGATGGGGCGGCAATTATAGCTCGTAGAACTGATAGCCCCCCACTACATGGAGCGACGACCTGTGCAAGTGTGCAGGAAGTCGATGGATGTAGGTGGCTCAGGATCGTACTTCGTGGCAGTCTGTGTGGGGGGAGGCCTATGTTCAGCAGGGAACTCAAACAGGCTGAAATTATGATAATGATGATGAGATTCACTATGAAATTCTTAGGTAAAAAAACGACCATTTTATACCACTTTCATCATAAAACACATGAAAAATTCATGATAAAGTGGATAAATTATAGCCTAATATGCGGGCGTTAAAAGCTTCGAGGCCAAGGTACTTACCCTGGGTGGAACTATCAGGTACGTCTCCACTTTATGGTCAGCCAGGTAGCCCTCGCGGGAAGCACCCTCTCCTGGCTCCACTTCGAACCTACCTCCGAGTTGGAGCATTGTTGCTTTTGTTATGTGAACGCGCCTTTGAACAAATAGAATTATGTTATTGAAACGTCTCGAGTCTGCTAATTAGAAAAAAATCGGCCAAGTGCGAGTCAGACTGGCGCACGAAGGGTTCCGTGTCATTATTTATGAAAAAGGCAAAAAATCATATCTGTTGTATTGGAGCCCCACTTAAATATTTTTTTATTCTGTTTTTTAGAATTTGTTGTTTTAGCGGCAACGAAAGATTTAATTATCACAAATATGAGATACAGCCTGGTGACAGACGGACAGGCAGACGGACAGACACCGCTGACATTCTGACTCCGCTGTCTAGACAAAGATCGGAGTCTAAGTAATAGTTTCCCGTTTTACTCTTTGGGTACGGAACCCTAAAAAATAAATATAAACATACATATGACGACTCGAATGGCGTAGTCGGTAGTGTACCTGCCTTCTGCGCCAGAGGGTGTGGGTTCGATCCCCACTACTGGAAAAATATTGTGTGATGAGCATAGTGTTTTTCTAGTGTCTGGGTGTTTATATATGTATAATGTGTATTTATTTACAAAAAAGTATGTTTAAGTATGTCTATCAGTTTTCTAGTACCCATAGTACAAGCGTTGCTTAGTTTGGGACTAGAGAACGTTGTGTAAAAAGAATGTGTCCTAAATATTTATATGTAAAATATGTAAAAACTGATGTATTCTTAAATAGGGAAGCTCTATTCCCTTTTGACTTTACTGTATTCCTTGGAATATACTATAGATGACAAACTTCAATGAGGCTCCCATATTAATAAGGTAGCGAGTATAGTTAGTATAGTTAGTTAGTGCAGCAGGTTGCGCTTTTGCGGTTAAAAAAATAAAACAGTTGACTGATGTAGATATGGCTGTACAAAAGTTTCATTGTCAAAATATAATGATGAAAAAAAAATATTCCGCAAGTTTCTTTGCAGACTTCTTCCCAGGTCAGTGGGTTCTCTTTTCCGAACCGGTAATATTATTTTAACAATCAATTATTCATATATTGCTTCTATATTGAATAAAGATAATTGAATTGATAGTATGTGATAAAAGACCCGTATTATTTACCTGAAATGAAAAAATAATAAATATCGTATAGTCATTATAAATAAAAACTAAATTTTATATACCTGCAATCCAGCAGTTGTTACTGTTCGTTAGAGTACAATGCAAAAGCAGATGCTCTTTTGCCTTTTGTTGACAAAAAATGATGAAACAAAGACGTTTTAGATTTATAGCTTTAACAATAGCCGTCTTAATCCAGTCCAACGGAAAAATATTTTGTAGCACACGTTTGAAATGAATTGCAAATATCTGACTATTTGCATTATTTGGCATTCGTACCGTAAATGCTGACTGGTGGGAATCAAAATTTAAAATATGGAATTTGAATAGCTGAAAGCAAATACAAAAAATAACAAAGCAAAGCACAGATTACGTGTGATATTAATGTAGTATGTGAAATTCATCATTCATGTAAAAAACCTAAATATTTTTAAATCAAGAAATTTCTTTACATAAAGTAAATGAAATTACATGAAGAACATTGGAATCCCTTTACCGCTACCCACATCTTGACATTTTGATCCGGTCGAAACTCTAAGTAAATTAAAACTTTACAATATCTCAGTCACCGTCGGAGAAAAAATAAAATCTTGTCAGTTTTTCATTGAGAAATAACACGGCATTGTGGCAAAAAAAATCTCTAAGAATTCATCCGTTCGTTTTGTATAAATAGAAGCAAGAACTACTGTACCGTATTTCAGAATGCTTGGGCGAAATTCTTGGAGCCAAAAGTCACTGCCCTAGTCACGTGACCGTTACAATTGTGTTGTCAATGTGACAGCTCTAGCTGTCCATTGGGACGTTATTAAATCTGAGACGTGTGATTTTGCACTATTTATGGGCATGGTAAACTCACCCGGCAATGCCACCCGACTCCATGTGATTGGCGAGCGTGACGTCATCGCTCCATACGTCAAACTGCCACTTGCGAAGACCGAGGACTCCGCAGAGGACGTTTCCAGTGTGAATGCCGATACGCATATCCACGTTGAAACCAGTCGCCTCACGAACGAAACTGCAACCGAGGAATTAGTGGAGGAATATTTCGAATTCCTTCACGATTTTTTTTATGTGAAAAGTTGCCAAACGAGCAGACGGTTCAGCTGATGGTAAGTGAATACCGCCACCCATGGACATCTGCTACACCCGAGGGTTACAGATGCGATGACAATCTTTTGAAAATTGGGCTCCGGCTACCTCACTCGCCAGACGAAACGCGAAAGTATTGTGTCATACTTCCACTTTACGCTGGTCTTCTGTGAGGTCGTGGTACTTATCCGGACGGGCCTGCGCATTCGTGCCACAGCCGACGCTGCTGCGTGCCCCTGCCACGGTAACCCTTCCCACCTAATCCTTCACGATTGATTTGTTTTATACACTTTTGAAAGTTATCGCCGCAAATTATTTTATGATGTGTCATTTGCTTTTCTTAGTTATTTATTTATTTTATACACCAACGAAATGGACACTGAAAAAATTTAAGTGTGCACTACTTATACAGAAAAAACATGTTAAGTGCCATCTCAATTATAGGTGTATACGACATTTCATTTCATTTTGAGACACAGGATTATTTAAGCATTGAAAAAACAACGATTAAACTAATACAATTCAAATCAATCCAAAAAAAAAATCTTATCTTATGGGTATTATAAAGTTACTGAAATGATTTTTCATCATCGTTATCGCCAGATTGCGATGGTCAAGTATTGAACGTAGTACTCCCATTAAATTTTCTACGGCGTTTATTTAACGTTCAATAATATTAGCTGCATAATTTCTTGAGAAAGAAGTTTTAGAAGTATAGGGCCACACATGTATGGATAATTGTGGTGGTAAATGTGATGAGAAAGCTATCTGGTGATTAGGTAATACGACTCTTACCGTATAGCGTCGATCATTTGCAGGCCCATGTTCACGCAGTTATATGCGTGATTGGGCCTCGACACAGGCAGTCCTGATACACAGTAATAGCAGTCACCCAGGATCTTGATTCTCATGCACTGGTTCTCCTGTTGACGAAGATGATTTTTTTATATTGTCGTACCAATGGCTACGTTTGTATGCACGTTATATGTGATTGAGGTGATAGAAGCCACAGTCATATGCAATTACATAATTGCATATGACTGTGGCTTCTGCCAAGATTTAAAGGATAAATTGATGGCAAGATCCAAAGGTAAATACGAAAATGAAGTTTTTTTTTATATGAAATTGCCAAACGAGCGGAAGGTTCGCCTGGTGGGAAGTTAATACCGCCGCCTATGGACATCTGCTACACTACTTTTGAAAATTGGGATCCGGCTACCTCATTCACCAGACGAAACGCGAAAGGATTTGTCATGCTTCCACTTTACGCTGGTCTTCTGTGAGGTCGTGGTACTAACCCGGACGGGCCTGCCCCTTCGTGCAACAGCCGAAAATGCTGCGTGGCCCTACCACCGTACCAATACCACTATTACCAATAGAACCATGTTGCCTCAATTTTTTGAAGACGTACATTAGCCTCCTGACACGCCCAGCTAATTTGGGTAATAAGTATTTTCCCATTGATCAAAAATAGGTCTTTATAATGAGTAAAAACGCTTACTACTATTCAACAACATTGACAAGACAAAATAACCTTTCTGTTTCATCCGTAAACAAATGGTTGTTTTCCGTAAAACTGTATGTTCGCACGGTTACGAAAATATCCCAAACTAAGTTACCTTAAGCGTATCTCAAATATTTGTACAACAAACTAACCTTACTCGCAGCCGCGAACAGAAAGCTCCAACGCAGTGTTAGCATAACTCAACTACAGAGAGAAAACTCTAGGTACAGTGAGCACATATTTTCGATATGCTAAATATAATATAATATACGTATATATTTTAGAGTTATATGAAATATGTATTAATTTTCAACCGACTTTAAACAAGGAGGTGGCGAATTGAGAAAATTCGTATGTTTTTTTTAATGTTTGTTTCCTCAGAACTCCCGTCATTTGTCAACCGATTTTAAAATTTCTTTTTGTATTGGATTTGCTTTATCCGATCTTGGACTCCGGAGATATTTTTGGAGCACATAAACAAGCTGTTATTTTATATGACTAACTTGCCGTCAATTTGTTACAATCACTTAAATAAACCTCCAACCAATAGAAGTACTACGGTTTATTAATAGTCAGGCAGTAGTTCCCAGTTGAATTTTTCTATTATGTAACATCGTTTCAATACAAAAGCCCAACGGTCCAGAGGGGCGTTTCAAGACGTCCTTCTCAATATAGCGGAGAGAATTCTCGTCTAATATGGAGCCTCCACTTGCAGTAACCATTAAGGTTAAGTTTCAACAATGCTCTCAGAGATCTAAGTGCGAAATAAAAGGCTTCCATTGAGCAGCGCTTTCCGTGAAGATCATTAAGGGACTTTTTTATAAATAAAATCTAATCTTTTTTAATTCCCGATAAAAATTCCTTTTTGATTCCTGATTAAGAAAATCTAATATTTTCTAATTCTAAAAACAAGGATATCCAGTGAGTAGAACACAAACTAAAATGATTACATCACAACTTTTTTTATGTGGGAAGGTTACCTGATGTTAAGTGAACCACCGCGTTTTAATATTTTCAACACTCGTAGGGTTGCAGATGCGTTAAGAACTTTTAATAAAGTGGAGACCGCCTACCTAAATCAACAGACGAAACGCAGAAGTATGCCATTTCATGCCAGTCTTCTGCAAGGTCGTGGTACTTACTCGGACGGACCTGCCCTTCCACAGGCATCCTTTCATCCCATCCATTTCCTCATCCAAATTTCGCCAACGTGCCAATATTATTACATATAGTTTTTACTTCACTGCTTGGCCTTAGCACGTAAAAATACACTTACAAGTGGTGAATTACTTTCAAATTAATATTTCCGTAAATTTGAAAATACGCTTGATATGGAAAAACTATTCGATGCATCCAAAGGGTTGGCAAAATATTTATTAGAAGAAGCGGATGACAATAAAAAGTACAGAAGACATTGTGTTTATTTTCAAGATTTAAAAGGATTTAATCATCAAAAAAAAATCTTCATTGAATTCACTGCTATTTTAATTCATAAACGTGAATACACATTGGTATTAAATATAAATAAATGAAAAAATATGTGCCGAAAAAACTAAATGTTCTTATCTTGAACAGGGACACAAATACATTTCAAATGACCGGAGATTGCATTCTGAGAGTGATACATAGCGATTGTTTATTAAAGCGATTTCCATTACATTACATATTTCATTTACATTCGTCGTAGTAAACTGTTGTATATGAGCAAATATCAATTTTATCGATGCTGGATGCCTTGTTAACTCGTATTTAAAGTAATAAAAAGTAATAAAAATGTATTTGTAACCATTAAAGTCCACACTTTAATGGTTACAAATACATTTTTATTAACGAAAACAAAATCGACTTCAACTGTTTTTTCTCACTATATATTTTCTATTTTATTTTGAGGAATCCCCTGTTGTATCTTTGGAGTTCAAAGACCAATACCAGTTAAACTGATATGAGACCACATGGGAAATAAACCGAACCCTGAACAAAGCGAATTTTTAAAATCTTTCATTAATGTCGGAGTTCTGATGTACCAAACATAAAAATACCAAACTGGGAAGAGAGAACGTCAGTCGAAAAGCAGAAAAATTAAACTCCTAATGAGTAATATAAATTCAGTAGTCATCTTGCTGTAACATAGAATATTTATTATTCAACTTTTTAATGAATATGATAAATCAATATCTGGAATTATGTTATGCAAGTAAGCATTGCAAAGTGCACGTTATTTTCCTGTTCGGTAAGTTCGTTGTGTCGGGATATGAAAAGTTTATCGTATCCAAAATTCTTATCTTTCTGCGTGTTCATTGCATGCCCTGGCTAAGCAGAATAAAATAAGTTCATCGGTTAACATGTGATACAAAAATTTGTTCAGAAATCTGGTAATTTCAAATTACCAGATTTGTCAGCGTCTCTGAAATTAGAAATTCGCCGATAGTAAATTTCATTTTACATTATTATGATAAAACAAAATGATAGTTATATATTTCTCTTTCGTTGTTTTATTATTAACTTATTACTATTAATTAATGAAATTATATTCTTATCGCTTAAGTAATAAGTAGAAATTTGTTTAAAAATAACATTTTTTGATTTATACTTGAAGTTCTTTACGTGATACCACAGCTCTTTAAAATTGTTAGATACCCACCAATATTCGGCTCTCATCAAAGAGTGTACAAAAACGAACTTCAAGAAAGGCTCATAAAATATTCTATACAATATATTCAATACTAGCTGTCCCCGCCCGCTTCGCTGGGTCATACCATCTTCTTTAAGTAAAAAAAAATATAGGCTCCGGATAAGTAATCACCAACATATCCTATAAAACCTTCTCCGAAACACGCCGCATCTTATGGTATATGTGTTATTCCGATCGATTTGGTAGTTTTCACAGTAAAACCGAAAAAAAAACCCCGGCTCAAAATTCTAAAATCTAAATTTCAACGGAAATTCAATAGATTTTAATCGAGTCGTGTGTTTGCCCTGAACTTGTGGCGACTCAGGTGCAATATTGAATTAAGTCGATTGACACTAAATAATTGATTACTTTACAGAACCATAAAAACTATATATAACGTACGTACCTATTTTTGGCGTTTATAGCCTGTTTGATAACTTGTCGGACGGCATTGTCTGTTTTTAAATGCTAACTGGTTTATCACCGCCGATAGCTAATTGCAGAATGTCTCGCGGTGTTGTCTAAGTTTTTGAAACAGAAATGAAAATTAGGGTGCCAAAGATTAACTGCTTTATTATGCTACATTTAGTGCTGTGACGCCTGCGGAATATTGAACTGAAATAACGAGTGCAGAGTAGTTCATCCGTGTGGTTCAAATTAGAAGGAAATTAACAGACATCCAGTTATAGAGACGCACTTAAAGACAAAAAAAAATAGGAGCAGTCTTTGGAGACTTACGGTGGTCTTACGGTGGTAGGGCCACGCAGCAGCCTCGGCTGTTGCACGAATGGGCAGGCTCGTCCGGGTAAGTACCATGACCTCACAGAAGACCGACGTAAAGTGGAAGTATGACAAATACTTTCGCGTTTCGTCTGGTGAGTGAGGTAGCCGGAGCCCAATTTTCAAAAGGTTGTAAACGCATCTGCAACCCTCGGGTGTGGCAGATGTCCACGGGCGGCGGTATTCACCTAACATCAGGTGAACCGTCTGCTCGTTTGACAACTTTTCGCATAAAAAAAAAAGAAAAGTGCCGATAGAAGTAAAAACTAAGCAAGTTAACAATAATTAGTCTTAACATAACTTGAAGACGAAACAGTTACTGAGATTATTCGATACGTAAAGAATGCTAAATAAATACAAAATAAAGATAATATGTGATTACGAGCCAACATATATCATAAAGTTATTATTTATTTATTTATACTTTATTGTACACCAAAAATAAAAATATATAAAAAGCAAATTGATGACTCCGTGGCGCAGTTGCCAAGGTATTGGCTTCGGCGTCGGGGGTCGTGGGTTCGATCCCCACACGGGACAACTATTTGTGTGACCCACAGATAGTTGTTTCGCATCTGGGTGTTTGTCCGCGTGAAATTTATGTTTGTAAAACGTCCTTGCAACACAGGATAAATTTATCCTATAGTAAGGGCAATGTTTTAAAAAAAAAATAGAAAAATAAATTACAAATGAATATAAAAGGAAGTACAATAGGCGGTCTTATCGCTCAGAAAGCGATTTCTTCCAGACAACCATTGTGAATAGAATATTTGCTAATGAGACATAAACAAGAGAGCAGAGGCAGGTGTACATGAATCACTTATGAACATCGGATGAAGGCATTTATACTTCAATGAGATGAAATGAAAATGATGAGAATGAAAAATAGGAAAGGAAAAAGGAAAGCGTGAATTCACAGTTCCAAGTAATGAGCTTTTAATTGGTTTTTAAAAGAAAGAAGTGACTTA